CACCACCACTACTACTACCACCACTATTCCTGGTCCTCCTGCTACTGCTAGAATCATCATGAAGAATGTCAATCTCTCTGTTGATCTTTTACAACACTAGTATGTTGGTTGCTAACAACGCCAGCGGCGCAAGCCTTGTCATGGTTTTCATCGTTTCATCATCACCTTCTTCTTCTGTTGTGCTGCCAGCAACCACTGCCACCAGCACCCAGCACTAGATTAATAGATATTTCAGGGGTTCTTGCAAATGACTTAACTATAACCCTACAGCAACAGGTAGTTTTTTTTTGCAAGGGCGCCAAGTTCAGTATAGTATTGATGGTATGCATATGCGAAATTCTTGTTGATACTACTTTCAATCCTTGAGAGCAGCAGTTACGTTTGCTGCAATGACGGGCTTTCTCGATCCTTGAAGTGTGTTGCCCTTAGACCTAGGTATTTGAGGCTTAAGGCCCTATTCTGCCCCGAGAGCCGGAAACCATGGAGCCCTTAAACCAGGCCAGAGCCTCGGATTTAACCCTGGCCAGGGGTGCCCGCTCTCCCCGTCGCTGCTGCTGCATTGGCTTGGGGCTGAGATGGAGCTGCAGACAGACCGGTTTTACACGTCCACGTTGTTCAGACCATTGCAGCAGGTCCTACACGCAAGTATTCCCTAGCGCCCCAAATGGGTTTCCATGACCAAGTTGCAGTCGGAGTTCTTTTGCTGCTCAAATGTGGCTCTCCCTGACCCTTTGGTGTCTCGCTTTGTTCTTTCTTTGTTGCTGATCTGATCGTTATTAGTGGTGTTATTACTATCAAGACTATCGTTACTCTTATCTGTCTGATCGCTTAGCACAGTTTGCCCACAGCTTTGTGTTTATCGTTTGTTTGTGTCTCCAGTGTCGCTTTGGGCTTATGTTCATCGCTATTGTTTTTTTCTCATCTGCTTCGTCTTGTTTTTGCTTTCTGCTATCTGGTTTGGCTACCTCCTTTTGCACAGCAGGGTATTGGGGAATTGCCAATTGGAGTGTTCTGTTTTATGGAATGCTATGGGACAGTTGCAACCCGCAGCAATTCGTGTTGCTGCAAGCCGCAGGGGAGACTCCATGTTGCAGGATCTTGTCTTGCGGCGGAGTATTTGGGAATGGCAACTTGAAGGGTTGCGTTGTTCGGCAACTTGTGGGGGAAGTAGACTTTCAAGGATCTTCTGCAGCGGCTGTGGCAAGCCATTGGGAGACCACAGTTGATAAGGTCCTGTTTCACGAACAGGTAATAATGGGGAAGCCTAGCTTGGAAGGTAACGTCTTGCAGGATTCCGTCAATCTGCTGCTGCTCCTCCTCCCCATCCTCCTGGTGCTCCTACTGCCGTTACCTCTACTGCCAGTGCGACTGCGACTGCAGCGACTGCGACTGCTGCTACTGCTGTTACGACTACACGACGACAACGACGACTACTAGTTTGACTACGGCTGAGACTACGACTACGACTATGACTACGACTACTACTCTTGCATTACTGCTACTATTATTACCACTACTACTACTACTACTCCTCCTCCTACTACGACTACTACTACTACTACTACTACTACTACTACTGCTTCTACTACTACTACTGCTTCTACTACTACTGCTTCTACTACTACTGCTTCTACTACTACAGCTTCTTCTACTACTACTACTAGG